CTGCATTCAGCTGTTAGTGCATTTTACAACTTTTAGAACCTAATCATTTAAACAAGGGCCATTCAAGTGTTCACACTGGGACGTTGATTCACCTGAAAGACAATTATCCACCGAGTTACAGGTGTCTCTTTTCCAATGTAAGTCTATGAGTAAAAGTCTTTTCGGGCCCCATGGCGTCACGTGACCGACCCAGAAGCTGTAATTCCACCGTTTAGCCGCTATGTCAATTAACCTTTTTTTACCGCATATAACTGGAAGCTATTAGCATAGACACATGGACTAACTTTCTAATAATATGCATCTACACACAACAGGATCATTGTAAGCTTCTATAATAGTATCACCACCCACACACTAGATAAATCCATGCATGTCAGCCTGCCTACACATCATCAAAGCCATTGATTTGACATCAGAATGAATTATGAGCCAGGGAAATCGAGGCATCTATTTGACTGTCAGTTTATTGACAAAAATCTTGTATAGAGCAGAGGTGGCATCATTGTCCTACGGCTGTCTACAGGATTTTGAATGAGAAAATATTTGCATTTGAAAAACAGAAGGTAATTGGAACCTACCACAGAGACGTGAGAAGAAATCGTATGCTCCTCTCCCTAAATGGATTATTGTCAAATGTCGCAGCCATCATCCTTTCTATCGACAAATGCTAATGGCCCTGACCAAAAGTCTGCTGTCTTTAGCTGCACAATCATTTCAGCAATAAACGCTTGGTAGAATGCGTGTCTGTTGATGTGCGTTTCAGGGCGACACTTCAAAGCCATTGAAGCAGATTGAAGCCTTGCCTCAGTGAAGCTCAACACAACTCCGAGTTCACAGCATCCTATGGGTCCAAACCAAGCATAGTGGCATCTCTTCATATTGGTTATGATTTGATCTGTCCAGGGTTTGAGATATGAGTGAGAGTTCTGTTTCAATCCAGATACAGTTGAAGAAAATGGAATTTCTCGACCTAATATTTGAGCTGACAAATGACTGAAGTGTACGTCATCACCAAGGTGTAAATGCAAAGACCAGGGATCCGATGGAATTATGGTATGTTTCCAGGAAGAGATCACAGTGGAATACCAGGTGGAAATTAAAAGCAGAACCAACGATATGGTAAAATTTCACAGGTGGTCAGTCGGAAAAACAATCTGTAATTTAGATGACCTGACCCTTTAACTGTTTTTATGCCTTTTCTCTTTTTTCGTCTTTTGTATTTACCATCTCTCCAATTTTTATTTTTGCCAAAGGAGAAAATATGAAGACAGCATCTCGTCATATTGACCATCATCATTGTAACCAACAACTCTCCACTAAGTGTCCACCTAAACTGTTATAGGTGTGTTAGCAGCTCCTCAAGGCAGGGCGAGGCTGGACTTACTGCAGCTTTTACAAATCAGCAGTGCCTAGTGGTGCGGGCAACATGAGGTCATAGCACAGCTTGCAAGCTGAATATTCTTCCTATCTTTTGCTTAAGTTTTAAATAATGGATAGGAGCTGCTTTGAAAACCGTGGTGCGCTGCAAACATCCTCACAATCACCTCAAAGTGACTGCACACCGCCGGCTGAGAACAGATAAAGAAATTCAAAACACAAGGAGTTAAATCTGTTGCTGCTGCAGGTGAATATTTTGGGAGAGAGGCAGTTGAAGCCTTGACCCACTGGAAAATACAAGTTGATGGGTAGTGGATGAAAATATAAATAGATCAGCCAGACCAGGCAGTCGTCTAAAATGATGACATAAAGTTCCCCAGGTCTATGAGAAAGCTGTTTTAGACAGCATACATTTACATTGCATGCTTGAGACCATGCAATATAGTCAGAACTGTAATTTAAGAGGAGGAGTGACTCTTCCTGCAGACAGACATTCCGGGAGATGCAGGCATGGCCGTAGCCAGTC